CGCGTCGCGATGGTTACTATTATCGAGGGTCGTATCGCGCGCCGCGATGGATGCATGGACAGATATGTCCCCCATGGGTCCCGGACTGAGAGACAGCGGGTGTGTATCATTAGGTCAGACATGCATCACTATACTTGACATTGCATTTCATTGCATTGCACTTCTTTATTATTGGTGAGCTTGATCTTGTGTGTTGTTGATCTTGTGAGTGCCTTTTTATGGAACTTGTGACTGATGAATATTGAGCTTGTTGTTGAAGATATGCATTTGTTAGAGTGTTGTTGTTGAGGATATGAAACTATTGTTGTTGTTGCGGATATGAAATTGTTAGAGTGTTGTGTTGAGCTATGTTCTTTGTAAACTGTTAACTGTTATGTTAGATCTTGTGAGTGCCTTTTTATGGAACTTGTGACTGATGAATATTGAGCTTGTTGTTGAGAATATATGATTGTTAGAATGTTGTTGTTGAGATATGTGCTTGTAACTTGTGAACTGTTAGGTTGGGCTGGTTTTATACAGATTGTAGTTGTGAATGTTCGGTTGGGGTGTAAGGAGTACTTGTATTCTATCCCCTTAGCTCGTGTTTAGAGGTTTACTTGCTGAGTACCGTGTGGTTTGGTACTCACCCCTTGCTTCTACAAATTTTTGTAGGTTACGAGCCTGGATTTTTGTGGTACTTGTTATTTTCTTCTTTTTCGAGGCTTCTGGGAGATTTGTGAGGTAGTTGTTTGTCTTCTCAGCGATCCTTCTTACTCCTGTTTATGATCTTGTTCTACTCTAGAAACAATGTCATATGAGACTTGTATTTTTCTTTTGATTCAATTGTAATACTTTAGAGGCTTGTACACGTGACAACCATATTTTTGGGGTAATTTTGAGTTCATTATAAAAATTTCCGCAATTTATTGTAATGGTTGAGTTTTAGGCTGACTTGTCTTGGTGGGATAAGGCGAGTGCCATCACATCCATTTTTGGATCGTGACAAAATGGTATCAGAGCACCAGGTTCATAAGTCTCATGTGTATACAAGTCGAGTCTAAGTAGAGTCTCGACGATCGGTATGGAGACGTCTGTACTTATCTTCGAGAGGCTATAATGACTTTTAAGAAAAAATTTCACTTCTTGAATCTCTATCGTGCGTACTTGGTCCGATTTGATTCTTACCGCTTTATTTCATTCACTCTCATTTGTGTGATGACTCGTGCGTAGTTCCTCATGTGAGTATTTAGTGTGTTGTGTATTGGTTGGAGATTAGATCTGGTATTAAGGTAGAAGTGATAGACTTATGAAAAGGACGTGTGATTATATTCGAAAGGGTTGAGTAAGGTGATGACTTGATGATGCAGTGTGAGGATATTTGAATGATGAGTTTGAAGAATGGTTTGAGGGACTTCATAAGCGTGTTATCTTTTTCAGGTTTAGTTACCCCCTTTGCAGGAATAATACTTTTGTGGTATAGGCAATATAGAGTGGTTTGACAGTTAGAAGTTGAATAATTAAAGGAGTGGCTAGATAATGAACATTGTATCTTTGGAAACTATAATTAATAAAGTTGTCATAACAGGTATGAGTTACTTAGCGAATGATGAGAATGATGTTGTACCAATTGAGGTTAGAATCTCTTTTGTGGTTTCATAGATTGAGTGTATACCAAAGAAGGTCATGATACGACTATTACAATGGTGCCAATTCTTACTTGGTTAGAGTTATGGAATGTGTTACTCTATTATGGACCTGATCTACGAAGGAATGCATATTGCTTTTGATGAGAGACTGAACGAATTTGGTAGTGTATAATAGTTACTTAATGGGTAAAAATGTGTGTGCTATTTGGGTACAATCTTCTCGGTAGGTATGATATGTTCTAGTGGTGGATTATTGATATGGTATTAATGTATTAGGTTAAGAAGTGTATCCTGAGGGTTTTAAATGAGGACCGGTGATTTCATCTTAAGGTCCAAGGGAATGGATATATATCAGAATGATAAGCTTATGGGTAAAGGAAGTCTCAAAAAGTATGCTTGTGCGAAGGTAATTGAGATTTTAGTAAGAAAGTGCATATAAGATTGGGTTAGTCCTTTGATTTTTGTTGGTATAACTGGATTTAAGGTGTCATGTTGATGAAGAGGCTTACTTTGTGGTGATGACAAAAGCATGATGGTAATAAGAATTCGTGATGGATTGTGACTGAGATGCAACTATATAATAAGGATTGTTTGTTAAAACAAAAAAATTGTATTGCAATGATGGCTTGCAAGTATCTAATGTTGTGATTGGCTACTAATTGATGAGTAATGTGGTTGCATGAAAAGTTATAGGAGGTGCTGAGACACCACTCAAATAGAATTGAAATGAACTAGTGTCATAATAATAAAAAAAATAGTGGGATGTAGTGTAGCCATTGGAAAGAGGTGAGAGCAAGAATATTTTCTCTTATTGCAAGGGCTAAAGAGAAATCTTCAAAGGGATTGAGAATTGAGGTATAGAGACATGTGGTTCCGTCTGTTTTACTATGATTATGGTTATAGTGTTATGTGTCATTCATATCAGTTAAAAGTTGTTGGATAGGGCTTGAGAAAGAAGTCTATAGACGTTTGGCTCGAGTGTGATGATAAGTGCTTTATTGTTTTGAGTTTGTTAATTGGTACAGTTGAATTTTAACGAAGGATACTGTAAGATCAATGGAGAGGCCATCAATTATAGACTAAGATAGGTGAATTCATAAAGATATTCAATGTATAAGCTAATGTTGATAGATAATGGGATTGTGTTACACGGTTGGGAAAAAAAATTCAAGTTTTTCATTGTGAGTTTAGGTTGTGGCAGTGTGTTTTGTCAAGGTATGGATTGATAAGGTAAGATG